CCCGGGTCCAGGACTTGAAATGTGGTTGGCCGTGTGGGAATTCCAGCACCTTTACCACCTTGCCATCTGCTGGTCCCCCATGTTTCATTATTTCTTTTTCTTTTCTTTTCTTTTTTTCTTTTTCTTTTTTTTTTGGAGAGGTTTTTGCTATAGGGCGCGTGCGCTCACCAGACAGACAGAGAGACAGAGAGACAGAAAGCGAGAAATCACCCCCCAGGGGGAATGGTCACGCCACAATCCCTTCTCCTCCTTTCTCCTCTCGGACGCAAACCTACACATGCACACACGCCTGGCGTTAAGTTTTAAGCCATCAGGTCTGGGACGCAAACCGCGGTCGAACACATGGGAGCCTAGCGACATAGCCATTACGCTAACTGCTGGTCCGCCCATATTTCTTTATTTCTAAAAATTGGGTCAAGCTTTTTTTTCTCTTATTTTATTGTTTTTTTTTTTTTAGTGAGATTTTTGCTATAGGACATGTGTGCTCACCGGAGAGACAGAGAGCCAGAAAGTGAGAAATCATCCCCGGGAGATGGCCATCCTGCAATCTCTTCTCCTCCATTCTCCTCTCAGGATTTTAGACATGCACGCACACGCACCCAGTGTGTTTTAAGCTGCCAGGTCTGGGACTTGAACTGCAGTTGACTACATGGGAGTCCAGCGACAAACATTACGTCATCTGCTGACATCTTTTTTCTTCTTTTTTGTCCTTAGTGGGAGGGCCAGTCTGAAAGAATTAGTCCAGCCTGAATGAAGCTGTGCATTGTCTCATCTAACCCTACAGTAACTCGGAGAGGGGCTCCCATGTTCCAGCTGAGGGATGGACCACCTAGGGCCACACGGCGGGTCTGGCCAGCTGCAAACTCCCAGCCCCCCATGCGGACTCCAGGATCAGTCTGCAGGGCTCAGGGGTCCCAGCATCGTGCCTTTCCGCATCACTGTCACTACACACGTGCTGGGCCCCCGGGGTCCGAGCAGAGGCCCCCCTGCACTGAGCCCTCTCTCTGGTTTCTCTCTTCGTGGTCCTCGCAGACTGAAGGGCAAGAGCTTCCGGCTGCGCAGCATGGCTGGCAGGGAGCTGTGGCACCGTTTCCAGCGGCCCCTGCGGGACCTGCAGCCGTGGAGGGACCTGGCCCAGCGGCTTCTGGATGTCACCACCAGCCTGCCTGACCTGGCCTCCATTCACACCTTCCTGCCCCAGATCGAGGTAACTAGTCCTGCCAGGAGGGCTGGCCAGCGTGATGGGCACAGAGGCTGGCCAAGGTGGCCGTTCCACCCTCTCCCAGGGAAAGGAGTGTTCCTGGGCCCTCTGGATACCTGGGATGAGCTCCCGGCACGTCCTGGCGAGACCTGATGCACGGGCCATGTCCACACTTGCACGTTAGTGGGACAAAGGTCACCCTCAGCTTTGGGGTAGAAGGCATGGTCAGCTTGATCCCAGAGCCCAGCGCTGGCCCTCCCCACCAGGGGGCCCCACTACTGGTGGCCCCCTCAATTGGCAGAATCTGCAGTTGCCTGAGAGAGCAGCATGTCTTATGGCTACAAGTGACAGAAACACAACCGCAGTGGCTTAGAACCCAGAAATCCTCGGGGACCAAGGCTGACATGATGGCTGGACAGTGTCCTCCAGGACCCAGGTTCTTCCTAGGCCACACCCCTTCGTGCTCCAGGATGGCTGCTGCTCCATGCCATCACCTGCCATCCCATGAGCAACAGGAAGGTGCAGGCAGGGTCTGGGTGTGGGAAGGGATCTCTCTGCAGCCACTTCTGCCTTTCAGCAGGCTTAAATTCCTGCCTTAC